ACAAAGGACTCTCTCCCTCGTTTGTTGCCCCAATGAACTGTAACAAACAAGGATGGCGACATTTGGAGGCAATGTTCATTTCTCGTTCAAACAATTTACGGTTATAATCAGACAGAATTGGCTCGTACATCTGTTTGACAGCCACAGAACAGCCACAATATTTGCCTTCTATAACACTTCCCCACCCTCCCATACCAAGGCATTTCTCCGTTAGCTGTATCTGATCACGTGGAATGACCCAGTCAGGTGACTGTTGACGTGAGAGTTCATTTACGGCATGTCGAGTTACTGAAAGAGACTCCTCCAGTTCGTCTACTTGCTGTACTTTTTCCTCCAGCCGGCTCTCTAAGGAAGAAACCTCTTCATCCTTCCTTTGTAGTTGTTCTTCAGCATTTGTTAACTGCCGTCTCGTCTCTCTTAGTTCTCTATCTCTGTCTTCTAGCTGACTTTCAATATTTGTAAATTGCCGTGTCCTCTCGCTCAGTTCTCCTCCGGACATCTGTCAACTGTTGTGTCATCTCCCTCAGTTCTTCATCTCTGTTTCTTGGTTGCTCTTGAACGTTCTCCAGGTGCTGTGTCAACTCCCTAAATAGTCCTTAGATAATGAATATAGAATAATGCATTTTTAGCTTGTCTCACAGGGCGTGAACCGATCGAAAACCCAAAACATATTCCTCTCTCTCCCATTCAAGAGATTTCAAACTTAGGATCTGGATCATTTAGACTCCATTTTAGATTACTCCATTTTAGATTACTCCATTTTAGATTAATCCATTTTAGATTACTCCATTTTAGATTACTCCATTTTAGATTACTCCATTTTAGATTACTCCATTTTAGATTACTCCATTTTAGATTACTCCATTTTAGATTACTCCATTTTAGATTACTCCATTTTAGATTACTCCATTTAAGATTACTACATTTTAGATTACTTGGCGCCCAGCCTGCTATCCGTTAAAATATATATGTAATATATTCAGTCTCCTGCGTTACCTAATATTGTAACTTGAAAGCTCATGACGGAAATCGCTAGTCTTCCTTACAATTATTTTTCTTTACAAATTTGTTCCTCAACAAGCTCCTTTTACCTGATATCTTCTTCGTTTCCCTTTTAAAATTCTCAGTGAGGTCTTTTTCGGTACCAGGAACAAATATTCCCCCTCTTCCTTCACCGACCCCACTTCTAGTTACTTCATTCTTGGGAAAAAAAGGAAAACACATAGCAACTTAGGGGATAAAAACATTTTGGTACATGTACATTGGGCCTCCCTGCCAAACAAATCTAAAAAAATCTGTGCATTGCGGTATTTTTTTCAGGAACTTAAATATTACGTTTTTACATTATTTGCCTTAGTTAAGTTTAACAGAAATAAAAGACCTATGCCGTGCTCAAGTTGAAATTGGAAATTAAATACGCTTTTAATAGGCACTTTTAAAATAACTTTTTACTAATTTATCTAAGGTCAGTTTCATAATTAATGTTTTCTTAGATTTTTGGTTTGCTTATTCTCCAGTGGACCCCTTGAGAACCACTGAGGTCTCTTCTTAAAATATGTACTGTTACAATATATATGAATTCTTATTATTATTATCACCGACTAGCTAACGGACTCTACTTACACTATTTAAACTATTTTTATATCAGGAGTATTTAGCTCGTTGACCCGTTACAAAACATGCTACGTGCGAGTTCAAGCGATTGCTGTCACGAATTGTTATGATTTACTTTTAACGAACTCTCCATAGAAGGATTTCATAGTGGCAAATTGCCCTGGAAATTCAAGCTTCAAGCAATTCAAGATAGTATCAATGTACAACAAAAGACTGATGAGCTTTTAAGATTATTATGATAGTTGCCAGTTATATTATGCGCCGTAGAGGGATGTCATCTGTGGTCGGGTGGTACACTGTCTGATAATTTCCTTCCTTACGACCGCTTTTTTCGCAAGTCTTCGGTGCAAATTCAGTTTGACTGCTTGTATTATAAGTAATCAAGTCATTATACAACGAATGCGAACGAAATCAACCAACGCTAAAGCCAGACCGCAAAACTATACAAATAAACTTTTAATGAAAAGTGAGTCACACTGGAGATTGAGGAGAGGCCCAAAAAAATTCTTAGAATTCTAATTAGGGATTAGTGTGCTCTTACTGTTTTACAATTCCTTTCGATTCATCGACTTCAACTCTTCACGGTTTGCTGTTTGAACTTTCATTTTAATTGCTTTGTTTTTGTTGTACAAACATTAATCGGATGGGTGATCATAAGTCTGTTTATTTGATCAACAAGTCGACCGCGGTAAAGCCAGCTTGCAAGCTTTATCTAACGGCTTGCTATTGCTTGAAATCCACCATCAACTTGAGTTGTATTTATTTGGCACATTTATATTATATTATTTTTTTCATATGCTAGTCTAAAATATGGGACACTTCAAGAGAGGGAGGGTTTGTTTTTTTTTTCCTTTTTTTTCGGGGGGGGGGGGAAGGGGGGCATATTAATATATAAACATTTTAACTGTCTGATGGGTCATCTATTTTCAGTGGTGACACTCAATTTTTGATGCACCGAATTGAAGCTTCTTTTGACTATCACAGCATCATAATGAATTGTTTCATTGGTAAAAAGATTAGTCTGGAAATTGTTAAAGTAAAAAAAAAACCAAAGAGGAAATGCTTAGGGAAAATATATATATAATATATAAATCAAACCTTTCTTACCTTTCTGGCCTCGATGTTCATGGCACCCAGACCTCCTTTTGCAGACAGGATGCCTCGGGCTTCGTCAGTCTTACAGCAGTCCAAAGTTCGTACTTATTAGAATAACAGAGGACAGCTCCTCGATAACATATCGGGAACCGTAGTATTGTATTGTCAGTTCCAAGGATTCTCTCTCTAATCATGAGTCCTTCCATATGAAGAGCATGATTATCACCTTCTAAGAGAGAAAGTTCCTCAAGAGTTTGACTCTCTGTTCTATTTTGATAAGCCTCCACTGGTTCCATTTTCTTTTTAAGCAAAGGACATGACGGATCCTCATACCTCTCCTCCATTCCTCGCTTCATGAAACTAAACGCTTTTTCAATGTCATAAGCATGAGGATCATTAGCAATAGTGGCCCCTAGAAGCTCAAGAGCATCAATTCTCTGTTCCTTTGAACATTCTAATCGGTTGATGAACCACTCCACCATTTCAATTTTACAATTATTACTGGCTTCAAGAAGTGGTGTTAAACGGTTAAGATTTCGTGTTTGTTTTGCTCCTGAAGCGAGCAACTCACAAACTAGCTGAACGTGACCCTGTTTCGAAGCATAATGAAGACACGAGCGTTCATCGTTGTCCTGTAGATTTATGTGTGCGCCGTGTTTGAGAAGATAGGAAGCAACATCCAGGTGGCCGCTGTGACATGTTGTCATCAAAGGAGTACTGTTGCCACAAGCGTGTGCATTTACATCGGCCCCGTTCTCAACCAAACAGCGCACAATATCAAGGTATCCACCGAAGGCAGCAGCTCTCAACGGAGTCGAATTGCTCGATATTCTGCAGTCGACTTCAGCGTTTTGTTTGATCAAGAGTCTCACACATCAAAATGACCTTTAGCAGCCGCGATCCATAAAGCTGTACAATCCAGTATAACTTCTCCGTCAATCTTAATTGTTCCACGGGCCTCGATGTTCGCTTCATAACGTAAAAGAACCTTTACGAAACCCAGTTTTCCATCACGAGCAGCGATGATGAGACGAGTGGCAAAGTCGTTGCCATCTTCTTGTTTTGTTTCCAGAGCGGCTTTTCTTGATTCGGGGTTAGGGAGTTAGTTAGGGAGGGGAGGGAGAGGGTTCAACTGATCTGGAGACGTGCATGGAAAGGTGTTATGTAAAATATGAACAAGATATATTTACGCCCGTACACGGTCGACGGCTTTAAATCCTCGATACGGCTTTCGCTTTTTTTCCTGAATACATAGAAACGGTTCTTTCCAGTCCTAAGACTATAATTCATTTATGATCCTCGAAACCACTTAGAGCGACAGGAGTCATTACACGTGATTGCACCATTAACACACATGTAATTAACAGATCACAACGGTCACAAGCCAACAAAATCATCTAATCATGGTAGAAATGGACGGAACCATGAGCTTGAGAGCAGCGGCCCATAAAGCTGTGCAACCCTCGATAAACCCAGTACTCTAACGTCGTGGCAAACTCTGAAAGTCCCTTGGGCTTCGATGTCAGTTTATAACTTAGAAAAATCTTTATAGAATTCAGGTGTCCATTACAAGCGGCGATGATCAAAGGAGTAGTTATCTCGCTGCCTTTTAGGGTCTTCCGGCGTTACGAGAACGGTTTTCCTTTCGTCGGTGTTCAGCCGCTTTATAAGATCTTCCAGACCGGAAGAACCGTCACGAGCAGCTTGATGAACTTTCTGAATTATGGCATCTTTATTAAACAGCATATCGACCATTTTACAGAACACACGCGAAACCTCTAATTTATTATGCGCCTCGCTTGAGAGAAAGCAACAAAAATCTTTAAAGTCAAACCTAATATAAGCAGACTTTCATGATTTCATTCGTCACGGTACGAATAAACGAATCATTTCACTAGTGTTGGATTCAGTCCGTAAATTTTGGTAAATTGATTCAAAACTCAGTAGCAGAGACTGATACCGAGTGTAGATTGGCTTGAAAGAGTGTACTATTTTTCGGGTGGCCATACCAGTCCCTACGAGTACAAAGAGAAGTTCTTACTTGAGAGTACAAAAGTTCGTCTGGTCATTCGCCTTTAACCGAAAAAGGAAAACTATTGAACTGAACAAAAATGCGAGGTATTGACGTTCTGTTTTCACTACATTCAGTTTCAAATTGTGCCCCAACCCCCCGGGTGCCCCGGTCTGCGGGACGGTTACTGAACTGTGTCAGAGATAGGTATGTCGTGTACGGGTCATTATTATGGCCTTTCAGGGGTAGGTACGCTGACTACCAGTAGCCATTTAATTCAATCGATTGCTCATTTAACTTTTCTCACAGAGCATGGCTCACAGGTTTTCTTCTGTGGTGCGAACGATCAGCAGAGATCCCCGAATATTTCTCCACCGTCAAAAGCGTCATTTCAGCCCTGTCTTATTATCACGAAGCATGGTGAGTTATGTATTTTGAGCAGTTATGACGTTCACGCAAAACGTGAGAGATATTCTTCTACAAATTACGCGCGGTCCTTTTTAATTTTATGTTTGAGGTAATAGTTAAGCTGTAAATCAAAGAAAACGCCTCATTTGATATATTTTTTCTTTCTTCTTGTCTCCTTTTCAGTTGAAAATATGTTGTTATCGTAGTGAAAAGTTTCCCCTCGGTCACTGCACGGAGTGATAGAGTTAATATACATTTAATGAAAATACTTCATATATTTGTGGCCAACAGGCTTCAAGAATTGAGACTGACAGTTTTGGAGAAATAGAAGTTCCAGCTGGTAAATACTACGGAGCGCAGACAGCGAGATCAAAGCTGAATTTTCCTATTGGTGATGAAACTGAACATATGCCGGTATGTTGATCACGATCTTCTCCTACAAATGACATCTCGTTCTAGAGTACATTGTAGATATTACTTTATACCAATAAAATTTGCCAGTGTATACCTTTTACCAACCTAGTTTGGGGTCTGCATGATAAGTTACAGACCAAATTTTACTCTACTTATGTTTGGCCCAAGCGTAAATCAGGTCATCAAATTAAGTGGAAAAACCAAGGTTCTATAACTTGCAGAACGGACCAAGAAACGAGGTTAGCAAGATATTGATTATCTCTAGGTTCAAGTTGAGGGGGAGTTTTTAATTGAAACGAAGTTTTGAATTTAGCAGGTTTTGCAGTGAAATGTGACCTGCTAAATTGACCAGTCATCACCCATGTACTAACTGAAAGATCTAATAAGTTAAACGAATTCTGGCTTCTCCAATGTTAGTAAAGGTATTACTTAAAGCAATTATCTACCTAGGAACACTTTTTATCAGTTAACAGGAAAGGTTCAGAGAGAATGTAAAAGAACTGGTGGGTGATATTTTTTAACCATGAGCTATTACAACTGGGCATTATTCAACAAAATGTAATGATGGAAAATCATTTGGTTACTAGTAATAGTGTATTGTTGTTTTTTGTCTTTTTTCTGATAGGCTCCAGTGATTCGTGCATTTGGTTTCTTGAAGAAGGCAGCTGCAGAGGTCAATAAGGAGTTTGGTTTGGATGCAAGTGTAGCTGATAACATCATGAAAGCAGCAGATGAGGTACAAAACATTGGATTAACCCTTCAATCCCTAAGAGGGACTAGCATCTAATTTCTCCTTATAATGTCACACTTGAATTACACATGAAGGTGACGAGAATAAAAGAAATGATCACCAAGAAAAGAAGTTCTCAATTAAGATTTTAGATATATGAAAATTCACATATTTGCACTGCGGTGGAGAGATGAAATTAGGAGATCCTTGCAGCTAAGAACACTACTGAAACTAGTAGTTGTAAAGTTGATCTCCTAATTTCATCTCTCCACCGCAGTGCAAATATGTGAATTTTCATATATCTAAAATCTTCATTCACTTGGATGTTTATTTGTACCCAATTCATTGACCAGCTCCCAGTTGGCTTGTTAGCTCAATTGGTAGAGCGCTGCACCGGTATCGCAGAGGTCATGGGTTCAAATCCCGTATGGGCCTGAAATTTTTTTCAGGTCCTATTTACAACTACTCATTTCAGTAGTGTTCTTAGCTGCGAGGATCTCCTAATTTCAAGTTCTCAATTATTAACAAATTCTCCTTGTCAGCACCTCAGGAAATGTATATAGAGATTAGTATGGAGAATATATATATTGATGTTGGAGAATATATATATTGATGGTTAATGAATCTAAATAATATTGAAAAGGTGAAAACTTCATTCAGTACCCCCTGGGTTTGGGTCTTGGGTGGATAATAGGGTTGAATTCTTGTGCAAGACACATAGCTGTCGCAGTGCCTCTTTTCATCCAGGAATTTAAAACCAGCATCTGTCACCTGTCAGGGGAACTTGGTGAATTGCCGGGAGATAATCTACTGTAAACTAGGATCCCTCTGATGGGAAGAAAAATGCCTCTGGTTGTATTACTTTTGGATGATATTACAGACAAATTGAGATATGCTCAAGCCGTGTGATTATCTTATGTTACTCACTCCAACAAAGCTGCAAATTTGTGGAGTTATAATTGATAAATATTAAAGGTATTAATTGGAGCATCTTTGATTCCAGGTGATATCTGGGAAGCTGAAGGACCATTTTCCCTTAGTTGTTTGGCAGACAGGTTCTGGGACACAGTCCAACATGAATGTTAATGAAGTGATCAGTAATCGTGCCATTGAGCTGATGGGTGGCGAGATGGGATCAAAAAAACCTGTCCATCCTAATGATCATGTCAGCAAAAGCCAGGTCAGAGGCTTATTTTAATTTGTGTAATATTAGGTTGGGGAAAAAGAAGAGAGTCCTCAAGAATGATGTCAAAGTGCAAAGTTTTCACAAATCATGAGGGGCTACAAATCTCTCTCAATGACTTGATTCATCTGGTGGCTTACCCTTCAGAATGTTCCCATGATTTCAATGAACTTTGCAATGGGAGGGGGGAGGGGGAGAGGGGAGGGGGAGGGGGGAGAGGGGAGAGGGGAGAGGGGAGAGGGGAGGGGGGAGAGGGGAGAGGGGAGAGGGGAGGGGGGAGAGGGGAGGGGGGAGGAGAGAAGAGAGAAAGGCAGGGATCCAGGTGGCCTTATGATCGTTGACTGTGTTGTGTCTCCATATTTTTTCATGATCACTGTAACCAATAAAAATAGCTCCTTTATGTTTTAATAACAATATTTTTCTCTCTGATTACAGAGCTCTAATGACACATTTCCAACGGCAATGCATATAGCAGCAGCAATGGAGGTGCATGAACGTCTCTTACCAGGACTAAGAAAGCTTCATGGTGCACTTCAGGCTAAGAGCACAGATTTCAAGGATCTTGTTAAGATTGGTAGAACACATACACAGGTGAATTGTCTGATCATGTGTCTTAACAGACCGCAATTGTGTCACATGCTAATTACCTTTTACAGCTCAGTGGAAATCCTCAGGAGTTTGATGCTTTCTCTTCCTTCGTTTTCCTCTGTTAACCCCCTTCACTCCCAAGATCTGATTATTAATTCTCCCCTCCAGCTGCTACACATTTCTCTGTAAACTATTTACAAGAATTTGGTGTAAGATCAAAGCAATGAATTCTACCTGATAAGTTTGAGTATCCTCATAACTTTTTTTCTGAACAATTTACAGATATTGGAGGAAGAAGCTACGTGTTAATCACTTTCGAAATTTGAAGGGTTATAAATCATGAACATTATCAACTTCTCATGAAAAGAATCCCAATGAAATTTCTCCCATAGCCCTGGTCAATATACAGTGAGTTGCATAGCATATGAATAATGTGTTGATTATTAGTGGAGGATTTGATTAATCATCACCTTTTACATGTTTTCATTTTTACAGGATGCTACGCCCATAACTTTAGGCCAAGAATTCAGCGGTTATGTTAAACAGATAGAGTATGGTATTGCAAGGGTGGAGGGCACCCTTACAAGAGTATATGAGCTGGCTATTGGTGGAACAGCTGTGGGCACAGGACTGAACACAAGAATAGGATTTGCTGAAAAGATGTCAGCTAAGATTGCAGAGTACACTAAGCTACCATTCACAAGGTGTGAATTAGACAGTTGATTTGGAATAAATATATTACTCTAAGTACTGTTCTATGATATATTCAAAATGTTTAGGATTGTTAATTTGTAAGTTATGAAAAGCAGTTACTATTTGGCATGTAGCTTCATGTAGTTATGAATTTTTTTATTTATTTTATTGCTTTGCACCTTATTTTTAGGAGATGATGTAATTTCAGGACAAACAATGTTAATTAGTGGGCCATCATTTTTTGTAAAAACAAGTTTTTTCTTTACTTTACTTTAATCTTGAACACCAACAAGACTTTATGCAATTATTTAAATTATTATCTTCTTTGTTTCCTTTAGTGCACCAAACAAATTTGAAGCCCTTGCAGCTCACGATGCCATGGTAGAGCTTCATGGAGCACTCAATGTGATTGCTTGTAGTTTGATGAAGATTGCAAATGATATCAGGTTTTTAGGCTCAGGTCCTCGCTGTGGATTGGGTGAGCTGACGCTTCCTGAGAACGAACCTGGGAGCAGTATCATGCCAGGTAACGATACAATTCATAACACTAAAGTACTGAACTGTTTCACTCGTACAGAATCACACAGGGTTCACTGAATCCTGAGCAGGTATGATAAAACAGTTCGGCAGTGGTGCCAGCTCTCTATTGGTTACAGAGAAACCCTTAACATTACTCTTACCCTGCTTCATGTACAGTGTACATGTATCAGTTTATATTAATGCTCTTCCCCCTAGAGGCCAATTGAAAATGTTTTGCTTACCCGAGGTGGTGCTTAGAGCACTTTCCTATTGTGTGTTGTTAACTGCAGCCAAGGTAATCACAACAGCCAATCAGAAGAAAGGAAAATACCCTGAAGAACCAATGAAAATTCAAAGTGAAAACAAGCAAATTTCCTAAACATAAGAAAGAGGGTGTGGCCAACTCGTAATTGGTTCAAGTTTTGCATCTAATTGGTTGAGTGGCACAAGTTTTCTAGACCAATTACTGAGGGAAGTTAATCTAAAACCAATATAATCTTGGCTGGCATTCAACACTCCATCAAAAATTGAGTAAGGAATATAATAATAACTTTTTTACAAGTTTCCTCTTTTGTTTTTAGGCAAGGTTAACCCAACCCAGTGTGAGGCCATCACCATGGTTGCAGCTCAAGTCATTGGCAATCAAACAGCTGTGTCAGTTGGTGGAAGTAATGGTCATTTTGAATTGAACGTCTTCAAGCCAATGATAATCAGAAATGTTCTGCAGTCAACACGGCTTATTGGAGATGCCTGTGTAGCCTTTACAGATAACTGTGTTGTGGGAATTCAAGCTAATGTGGATAGAATCAACCAGTTGCGTGATGAGTCACTCATGTTAGTGACAGCATTGAACCCTCATATTGGTTATGACAATGCCGCCAAGATTGCAAAGAAAGCTCACAAAGAAGGCACAACTTTGAAGGAAGCTGCTATAAGCCTGGGATTGTTAACAGAAGAACAGTTTGCACAGTGGGTGAGACCAGAAGACATGTTAGGACCAAAGTGAAAAATATTTAACATTGGTGGGACACGAGTTGAAGCAAAATGAAAAACCTCAAGTTTTCAACTCACATTTTCCAACTTTTACTAGGTTTTAAGACAATTTAACAATTTGTGCAAGTTATCAAGTTTACAACTGAGCTAATTTCAAAGCATTTGCCTTGAAACTTATTTTGCAATCCAGATGCAGTATTGGTAGTCCATTTAATTTAAAGACAATACATATAGATGTACATGTACATGTTGTTCTTGAAATTAAATGCCCACTATTCCAGTGCAGTGAAATTACGCAAAGGGGTGACTTCAAAATTAAAGTACCTAGCTGAGAGTTGCACAAAAAGAACACCTCCCAGAAACGTAATGTGTTTAATTGGGCCAAGCTGTGTGGTGGATTTGGGTTGTATTTTTAATGTTATTCTGCAATTTGTGAAACACAGCAGCTGTGACTTGGTGGTAAGGCAATAAAGTAAATTTGCTGTTTCATCAACCAAGTTTTTCATCTGTTTACAAAAACAACTTTAAAAATTAAAAATACATTTACTTTTCTAGTCCCTTCTCACTTGTACTTCAGAGTATTTTTATCATTTTACCTTGTTTTTAACTCTTTAACTCCCATGAGTGACCAAGACAGAATTTCTCCTTACAATATCAATGCAATATCAACCAGATAAGTGACAAGAATAACAAAAAATATCAAATTGGGGATAATTAGTTGATCAAATACTAAATTCTCTGAACTAACACTATAAGAATTGTATTGTTGACAGTAAGGAGAATAAAAAATTTGATCAGGGGGTTAAAGTATGTTACTATAGAGTATTCCAAACAGGGTGTCATTATGGAATGGAGGCCTTCATCAGGGTATAAATTCTTGGTGGTAGGTCCATAATTATGTGGTATTATTCACAATCAATCCCTCCCCCTACCACATGGATCCAATCCAAATGGACTTTCCCATCAATAGCGTAGCTCCATTTTCAGCAAGTAAACACACACACAACCCACAATTCCTTCAATCACTCTGACAAAGGGCTAACACTCAAAACATCAGCTTTTCAACTCTTTACAGTGTCCAATTTACCCTTTCAACTCAGTTGATAATACTAAATGACCCTACTCTACTCTCCCATCAACACAACACCACAGTTTCTATAGAAACTTACCCCCTTTATTCATTTGACTTTCTGTTTGCTTAGAATACCATCACACAAATATAACAACTGAGTGCTATGGATTGTACTTTGTATAAAAGATTAGTTTGTTCTTTGAACTGAGTTGGCTCCAAAAGATTACAGTACCATGTCTGTACTCTACTAGGAGCTAAGGTACAAGCATACATTTTGCATTTCAGGATTGCAACACAGGATCATGGGTGCACAAAACCCTCCTGAAAGTGACATTCACATATCAGTGATTTATGTCTCTTCCTCAGCTCACAGGAAAGTTAGTTGTTGGCATCTATTTTTCTTGCCCACCAAGAAATTATCTCTATAAATTTTCTCCCTGCTCTGTTACTGGTCATTACTGGCATCATCTGAAAGCACATTGTATAGCACTCTGATGCTCAAGGTGCAGTTTGAACAACATACAATGTTGTGTCCATTTTCCAAATCACTGTCACTTATCACATACTCTCCACTGCAGCGACACACACTTGAATAACTCTCTGTATCTGAAACAAAGTAAAATAATTTTCACTTGGCAGGTGCACTGCATGCACTGTGTTGCAACTACAATCAGTGGCATTTTTAGAATATTAAATTATGCATCAAATGACTACACCCAATGGGTTATTTACACAAGGTTCAACCCAAACCAAGGTTTTACGCAACCAGTGGGTCTTGGGCTTTAAGAGGGTTGATTTTATTAAATAGATGTCCCTCCATTGTCAGCTTTCAGCCCTCTCGATGCCGTTCATAAAAATAAATTTTCAAATAAAAGGTTCAGCTAAGCTGAGGATTTTCCAGGATGCAGTTTTGTTAATCAACAGCTAGCTTTGTCTATAAATAAATAATCAGTCCAATGAGATGTAAAATATACAGAATAGGGTACTAAAGACACTTACAAAGAAACACTCCTGTAACAGTATTTTGATCCATTTATTCTGTCTGCCTTTCCCCCACCCCCTCTCTCCTTAAAATTCTACAGCCCTTAAACATTGCTTCATGATGAAACACTGAAGATCATCCAAAGTACTAAACTTCCTACTGGCTGTCACACGTAGCTTTTCTATATCTCAAGTGAATGTCCAAGTTCGCCACAAGTTGCCTCTTAAAAAATTGCCTTCATGATATTCCATGTCATCCAAATCTACTTCATCACTTACTGGCCAATCTTGTGACAAACCCTGTTCTATAAAATTAACATAATGATCAAATAAGTATAATCCAAATCTAATGCTCAAAATATACTTTGAAAAAAAATGTCCTTTCTTCTGTTAATGAAATAATCTAGGAACTGAATATGAGAGTTTTCTTCCCAGAAATGAACACTTCTTAATCAGTAGTGAAAAAAAAGATTGAAAAATTCAGGCCCGTACAGAAATTGAATTTATGACCTCTGCGATACCAGTGCAGTGTCATACCAACTGAGCTAACAAGCCAATTGGGAGCTAGTCAATTTTTTGGTTTGTAATTATCCTAAGGACTGCCAGAATATTGGCAGATTAGGGCAGTCCACCAAGGAGTTTTATAAGACAGGTGTGAACTACTCTACCCTGGGCCCCCTTAATTGAAAGGCTCAGAGCAAGAACGACCCCTTGATTTTTCGGCCATTTTTGAAAGTGTTCAGAAGTAGTTGAATTTTGGCATGTGGACTTAGTTTTACTCGATATACACTGTTGTGGTTTTTTTTTCGCTGGTTTGCGCTTTGTTTTCGAGAAATAACGTATGCAAAAAACCTTGAATTTCGTAGCGGCTTTCATTGAATGAAGCCGAAAACAAAAGAAGCCTTTTGTTTCATCAAAACAATACAGCCCCCGAGAACTTGCATATTCATAACCAGCTTAAAGAAAGAGCATGTTTTTTGTTTTGAGTTTAAAACACCGTTTAGCGGTGTTTTAAACTCAAAAGGGGGAGGTGAAGGAGAAGAGGGTGTCATAGTATAAGAGGGCTCAGCCACCTTAGGTTATATTTTCTCATGAGAACACACAATTTTTTTTTCTGTTTAAGCTTCAAATTACTATTATTATTATTATATCAGCTATGTTACACATCTTAATGCTTTGAATCCTAATGGCACAATAGGGCGCTAAGCATAGCCTAAAGGCCATGTCATAAATTAACCTAATTTCCTAGTCAATATCTATCCATATATATACAATATTATTATCATTATTATTAGTATTATTTAGCTTTTTTCATGTTTGATTATTGCCGTCCATTCTTCCTTGTTTTATTTTATCTTTATTTATCACACCTTTGAGTTGCCTGTCACAGTCTGCTCTTGTTTCTTGGTTATTAAGGATTTTCCAAGCCTTGTCAATGGCCAGAAACCTCTTGTAGGCTTTGTCACGATCTTCTTGACTTAATGATTCATCCAGTTTATCTGGGTGTACCTTGGAGGACAGGCGTAAGAAGATCAGCTGATCAGACCTTGCTTGTCAAAACAAACCTCGCCAATAATTAACACACAAGATTAGTTTCCAAACCTTTAGTACAAGTCTTTGATAAGCTCGTTTAATTTCTTCGTGGCTGGAGTTTTCGGAAACGCCAAGCTCTTGGTAAGGATTACTCAAATCTGTCGAGTTCATTGACTAGTTCTCACGACTGTCCGCCATAGTTACACTTCATTTTACGAGAGAGAATGAACACTAATACCTTTCTAATAGAGGATTTGATTGGCTTATTTTACAAAACTTCTAAAATTTGACAAATCAGAAGTGTCTTTGTATGAAGATTGCGCGGTTACCAATGACTGAAATGAAAATGGCGGCGTTTCGATATGTTGGCGTGTGCAGATGCGTAAACCTAGGACGGCGTTTTAAGCCTGTATTGACGACCACTGGTTGTCTGCCTTCAAAGAATGAGGTGCAATAGTTATTATTTATTTAATTCCGCTTAAATTTCATTGGTGACAGACCTGTGTGCGTTATTTTCTGCTCCAAGTTTGACGTTGCCTTTAGGGTTAGGGATTGTTAGCGAAATTTCATCAACACTGCTGGAAAGGGCTTCCAAAAAAAGAGTAGAGTGGCCAACTTCGTCCGCGTTCTGTCGAAAACTAACGGAGATGTCTTAGTCTACAAATTTATAAAATCATATGTCTGTATGGTGAATTACACAAACGTACCACTGCCATTAAAACACCTGCTCAAATTAAGTGATTATTGCATTGGTATATGTTCGACATATTATTCTCAGCTGGCAATTTTTTTATGATTCCATGTTGCTCTTGGTAGTACTTCCTGTGGATATTTGTACTAGCTAGTCCATCTCAAACTTGAAACACCACCATCAATCAGTCGTTGACTCATCTTTGATCTATTACTTGTAACTTCCCAGGTATTAGAATTAACTGGTCAAACTTCACTTGTTGGACTTTTTCACCAACACAGGTATGCGATTTAATGAAGTGGAGGAATTTTGAGGCTGGAATTAACACATTTTTACTCCTTTCAGCTGTTCACAAATTACCTTTGTTTTAGAAAACAAATTAAAGCAGTTTACGCTCTGTACTCGTGAAATGGGAGACAATCAGTCCGGTGGGGCACATGTAAATTGTGTTGAGATCTTCTTGACTGTAGTCTCAGGGCAACTAAGATTGATGATAAAAAAATTTTTGATTTTTAAGCCAGAATGTAAGTTTGCTTTCTTTGTTATAGGGGAAAAGGATTCTTGGGTAATGAAAGGATCTGTGGTGAGACTCTCATTCAATTGTAAATGCAGTCATTATATGCATGTAAATTGTAAGGAATACTTTAATTTTTTTAAGAAAATGTCATTATCCTCATTGGAAGGCAAGCCATGTAACTTATGACACTAGTCTGGCCCAATGATGTTCATGTATCATACTTTGATGCCCCAAAATGACTGGTGATAACTGTTTTATTCTCTTTCTTAAAGGTCTTGTATTTCCTTGAAAAACACCAGGAGAATTTAACAATGCATCAAAAGTCTTAAAGCCCCATCTGATGCATCCTTTAGTTGTATTACATTATTAATGGACAGATTATCTCAAAAGTCACTACTATCCACTAACTTCTCTCTCAGGGAACAAGCATCTTCATTCCAAGCAGTTTTCAACTGATTCTGGACATGTGAGTATTTCTCAAGGTACAAAATACATGCTCTCTTAGTTACTTTTAGTGGCTGAAAACTCATCTTTGAACATAAATGTTAGGTTGAGTTTCTACCTGCATCACAACACTTTAAGATAGTTAAATTATTGTTTTTGTTGTCTCTTTCCAGTACAGTTCAAACCCTAAAAAGAAAACTCTGTACTCACTGATTAACATTAAATACAAGGGAAGTGATGAAGCTGTGTTAAGGAGTTACACTAAGTTTATGACAATGGCTGCAGAACATCTAGACATTGATATCTCTAACAGGTACATACTGCACAGAACAGGTACATACTGTACATAACAGATATTATGTAGGGTAATAAATGTCACAAATATTATGTAGGGCTGTTACAAAGACTTTGCCAATTTCAGATGCCTTAAATTACATACTTATTGCAAAATATCACATTTTCAATGCTCGACTTCATGATCACACCCCAAGTCATGAAAAAAATGGCTATCAATTCACAAGTCACAAAGACTTTGTGACTCACTTTGGCCGTAAAATTAGCCAAGAAGTTGGCCACAAAACTAGAAGCATACAGAGGTGCCAAATCATGAAAATTTAAAATCTGGATATATATATATATATATATATTGTTTTATCAGATCTGGGAGTAAAGAGTTGAAGGCTTCATCAAAATTTATTCTAATGCAGCTGTACTGTCATATAAATGTTCATCAGCATGGACAATACCACTTGCGTATATGTTAACCAAAACACTTGAATAAAACGTGCCCAAAATTGCTTGCAATTGCAAATAAAAACAATCATGGGAATCAAAAAATTACATGTTCGCGCATAAGCTTGACACATCTACCTCATAAGTATTACAAGGTAGTCCTTTTTTTCTATTGTTGGCGGTTTATCATTCTTAAGATAAGCAGTATAAGTAGTCACTTAGGTGTAGAGGAAGAGTCCAGTCTGTCTTTCTCTTTGCTTTGCTGGCTAGCTAAATAATTTTGGGCAAAATTTGCATTTCTTGCAGAATTTTGCTACCAATAGCAATTGAAAGGCACACACTTCTGAAATCACCACACATTAACAAGAAGCACAGAGCACAGTATGAGGTTCGGACACATGGGCGCATGTTACAGGTTTGCATTACTTCATTATCAGCAAATGGTATTGTTAGTATACTGTCTTTATCCTGTCACATTTTCTTTCTCTGTCCCTCTGTGTATTCTGATTATTTTAGTTTGTAGGTGTATTGGAAAGTTGGTTCTAGTTTTCTTGCTGCCCTGAACACCTTTTTTTTCTGTTAGCCTTCTCCACACTTGCTTTTAATGATTTGCTAGTGTTATCACACAACATCAAATACAGGGAAAATTGTGTGACAAGGAAATGGTAGTTGTGTTGAGGACCCGATGCAAAGCAGTTGTGATTGTTTTACTGTCGGTCTTACAGGTTAGGAATGTAACCCAAGAAACAGCAGATGTATTCCTTGAGTACATTCAGCGTAACATACCAGAGGGAGTCAGTATGAAAGTAGAACAAACAGAGCTGGAATCAATCTCAGACTACTTTGAGCTGCCTCCTGAAGCACAAGAATTCCTCAAACAACAGGAAAGCAATCAAAGGACAACATAATAATTTTACTTCTGATCACACCTCATACTGAGAGCAATCAACTTTTGCTGAATATTGTGTATAGTTGTGAAGGAAATCAGTTTCAAATATAACAGTAACCTAAAGAGCTGGGTGTCACATATAACTAGCACTTTCTTATAAAATATTTCTACCATTAGTAGGAAGGTTGAAACACTTGTGGCATTACCGTGATGTACTACAACCAAAGATACTGTGGACATTAAAATCAAAATGATATTTAGAGTTGAAGACTGAGAAATGTTGCAATTTTATTTTGATTTCTAAATACAATATGGAATGTATCTTTTGAGTACCTCATATTGAAGGCAAGATTTCAAAAGTTGGGATGCAATCATTTTAGTTAGCTATTATGATGGGGCCAAACATTACTGCGTGACTTCATTAAAAACAAGCCCTCAGCAGATCTCAAACCCCAAGGCTATTCAATCTGGAGTCCCCAAGGCACTCATCCTTACACCAATTCATCTTTCATAACCATGTGTTCACACTTCCTGAAAACTGTACCTGATTTACTCATAGAGTTGAGAGGGAATTGAAAAAAAAACAAAGCTAACAATGAACAGCAGTAATAAATAATTAGCAGCAGTAATAACTTTTTATTTGTAAATAGCTAGACAAGATTTGCCAAAAATTAAATTTTGGTGAAAAGAAGTTGAGATATTGTGGTTTTAACAAGGAAAACAAGGGTAATAGAAAAGATAATAATTTAATAAAATAATTAAAACAAAAGCCAAAGGGAGGAGGTGTGAGGTAAATGTGCTATGGGAAGGGGGGGACAACCCCTTGCCCCCTACCATTTTCCTATTCAGTTAATGCCTGCTATGCAGGGTGATGACAATATTAGTATCTGTGCTACTGAAATTCAGGAGATGAGGTTTTAGCCAGGAACATCTTTTTCTGGTGCAGTTCATGTTATGTTATCACAACTTGTGGTATGGCATCTCAGCTCTCCATAGCTCTTCTAACACACTGTCTTCACTTGGAAAGCGAGTTGTGAATGACTTGATCATCCCAGCAGGGCTTGCTTCAAATTCTGTTAAACTAACATCATTGTCTCCTAAAGAGATAAATTGATAAATTTTGTTGGGTTTTTTTTTCTCATTTTTGGGTTGCTTTTCTATACTTGATTCATATACTTCCTAGAAACTACTGCAGTGACACAATAACATTGTGTCTTTTGGGAGATTTCTTTTTGTCATTATTTTGACATTTCTCTAGGACACACAAAAAAATGGACTGAATACTTCAAAGAAACCTTGATAGGCAACTCTGAGTATGAGCACCACTTGAGAATTTGGTAGAGTGACTCTGAGTGCACCTGCATAAATAAGCTTTCACCTCCTTGTACCCCTTTGATTATTTTTGTAAGGAAAAGAAAAGTCCTTCAGGGCATAACACTTGGTGTAACTGATTGAGCACATTTTTATCATGAGCCCATCCTTATTATAAGCTCCTCTCGACAAATACTATCAAGCTTACCTGTAATGCTTGTATGGCATTGAACAAACATCCTTCGTGGAGTCTTGCGAGCAAGAACTGTCTGACGCAGTGCTAAATATTCCTCATCTACGGCTGAGTATTGATCATACAAAGCTTTGCCAGCATCATAATCTGCTGTTGACTTGTACACCTATGAGGAGAAAGAATTTGATCAAAAGAAGATAAAAGCAGAGACCAATACAGTAGAGTTTCATCTTTCTATGGGTAAAATGAGATTTTATATCAGAGATGATGATAAGATGACAACAAATTGACCAAGCCTGGGTCTCCACTTAAGACTTATCAACCCAAATTCTAGCCCCCTGGTCATAGGGTAACCACCACATCCCCCTTTAAGCATTATATAGTGTCTCCTTTGAAATAAAGATACTCAGGAGGAAAATTGTTTACACAGAAAAGCACAATGGCAAACCTGTAGTTTTCTGAGGAAGTTTCCAATAGCTGGCCTTCCCACAGATTCAATCTTTGTTCTATCCAGTGTCACCAACACATCTGGTTTACCATCTGACCCTGTGATACTGGTCACTTGTACTACATTTTCACCTGCTTCAAGGAGAACTTGTAGAATGACATATCGTGCTTGCATGTGAGCCTACAATAACAACAAAATATTTAGTTGTACTAGGAGACTTATAGTGGACCTTTTTCTACACTATCGTTGATGACACAATATTTTAGCTAGATTAAAGAATGCACTACCAAAAAATTCCATAAATCTTTATGGCTGACTCTTAGGAGTGGGACACACTTGCCAATCCTAAATGACAGTAGAAGTGAATTAGCTTTGGGGCATCACTGTTGTCCACTATTTTTAACTCATGCTGTAAACTTGTTGTGAAATGTTTCCCTGCAAAAATTGATTTCCTAGATTTATTATGAATTTAATTGTGTATTAAGTGAGTTGTAATTTTATTACCATTAAAGTACAGAGTTAATGTTACAATTAGAAGTAGCATGTAATTGGCAGTGTGGAATAGGGTTATCAAATCAGTTCTGCAAGCAGTGATGTAGGAAATTAGGTATTTGCAGGGTGTTTAAGCACATACGAACTTAGCTGCATGATTGTCAAGTAAAGCCATGATTAATAGGAAATTAGTGCCCATGAATCGTTGTAGAATGTGAGTGAATCTTAAATCCCACATGGAATTATGTATCTGGGTGTGGATTTCCTTAGCTAATATATGTAACATTTTTGTAACCCAAGGTTTAGATTGTAATAGAGTAGACAGATTGCAGAACAGAACTTGTAATGCTGAATTGTTGTCAATAAAGCCTGAATCAAGAGAAAGTATACGGTCCAAGATTACTGAACCAGCGTGTGCAGAATTCTCAGCAACGCAAGTGGGAAATTCTGCAAAAAAACTTGCTCGTGTTGCTAATGCCAAGTAACAACAAGTACTAAAAAGTATAGGGGCAAGCACACCACCCAGATTTCATCTTTGATTTTTTACAGTGCAAGATGTGAGCAATTTTTAAAAGCCAATCACCATAATCATCTTAAAACATAACCATCAGTGACATTTGCAGAGATGACCACATGGAATAGACAATTGTGTGGTCTGGTCAAAGCAAATTTCTCTAACAGCATGCACCATACTTCCTGTTTACATTTTAAAGCTGCTGTTTAATTCTAACATACCTGCCGCCATTTGTTATTCTCAGGGGTATAAAATTCCAGTCCTAACAGACCTGCACGGACCATATTCAGCCAGTTGATGTAAATTATGTTATCAGCATCAGTGCCTTCATGCCCAAATATTCTGCAGGTACAATAAGTAGAGCCCTATTTTTAAAGCAGTGTGCATTAAAACAGAGATCGTGAATAGCCTATTTTAATAACTTTTTCACATTGGACTGACAGAATAATTCAAAACATTGTTGAAATGCCTTGTTTCTACCAAATTAAAAGACCATAGAATAACTTGGGCTGTTGAACCCAATTTATCCCATGGCAGGTAATTTAGTGTTTACAACTGAGTTGAAAATGTAAATTAGCCACCATAAAGGGTAAAAAAGCTGATGTTTCAAGCATTAGCCCTTTGTCAGAGCGATTGAAGGGCTAACGTGAAGGGCTAACGAAGGGCTAACGCTCAAAATGTCAGCTTTTTTACCCTTTATGGTGGCTAATTTACATTTTCAACTCAGTTGATAACACTAAATTACCTGCTATACCCTCCCACTGATGCAGCACCACAGTTTTCTTTAGAAACTTACCCCTTTATCCCATGGCAGTTGTGTCATAGCTTGTAACCAATCAAATCAAGACTTGCAATACATAGTTTAAACAGAACATATACATGGCACCCACCTTAGTACTTCTGTAGAGGTACAAAGGTAGATTCCCACGCACTCTGCACGGCATTCCTCATAAGATGGACTTAATTCAGCAAACCGTGTGTACCAGGTCTCCCCGTCAGTATACCAGCTGGAGATCTGGAAACCACAATAACACCATTAATGTCTGATAGACCCAAGTGCTTGTGTCACTCAAAATAACAAAGTAACAGTGACAAAGAGAACTTTCCCTTTCACCTTTTCTCCAGTTTCTGTGTGCATCACACTGTCAAGGTCAAAATTATATGTGCCATCATTTTTCTGAGAAAAAAAAAATGATTACATGTGCTTCACCAGCAAGTAAACTAAAACCAACTGCATAAAAATGTTTGGACAAGGAAGTACACTATGATTGCCAATATTTCTAAAAACAACTCTGTGTTAAACCAGACAGTTGAAACACTCACCTTAACAAAGAGCTTGCCACTTCCATGGCCCAAGAGTTCATGAAGGCCAACTTGTACCTCAAAGGATGGGGCTTTAAGCTTTGTAAACAGCTCCTACAGTCAAATGAAATAAAAAGATATCAATTAAATGTCATTTCAATGATAATGCTGCATACTGATGACAAGAGAAGAGGTTCAGAGGAACTTCTTCTTAACTATCCAAAGAAAAGTAAAATGTGAATTGAATGAATTTTTACTCAACAGTTTTGAAACTTTTACCAAAGGCAAGCTTGATAACTATGGTTACAAATTCTGTCACAGTGGTTACTCTTAGAAAAAAGTGGGACATTGCATAAGGCAACTCACTTGATCCTCATCACTAAGGAAAGTGACCTTCTTGTCAACTGAATGAGCCGCCAGTACATTTCCCAAAGATACATTTTTAAAGCCTTCTTCTTGACGAATTTCATCATCTAAAAAGAGAAGAAAAAAAAACAGAACAGCAGCAATTCATATGAATCTCATCTAACCATGCATCCTCCATTTTTGGGTTAATGACTTTGTTTATTCTCCCTACTTGCATGAAGGAATTCATATTGATCTACTTGAGAGAACTAAGAATTTGATCTGGACTTACAATTAGGAATGTTAATTCCAGCTGGTATACCACTGCTTCCAAAGCCCAGCACATCAAGAGAAGTAAAGTCTGGTCTTAAAAACTTGTCCTTCTCATACGCAGGAGGCCATGGCAGCTCAGGAAGCAACTTCTCAGCTTTGGACACTAGTGATGCAAACTTGGCACTCATCTCTTTGTTAACAACTGACACAAACCCTGCAAATGATGATTAAATCAAATCAGCTTTTTGAGTCTGTATTAATGATACTGACATTAATTGTAATCTTGGTATGGAAACCATTGTAAGCCACAGGACAAGAGACATCTCTCTGGATATTTAGGTATTTCATTTAGTACTAAATAAAATAATACATTTAGATGCGTATTTGTTGTGTCCGGTAGCAGTAGGTATGAGGGTATTGTATGTGGTTTATTAAGATTGAAGATACACAAAGTAATTTGGTATTATCAACTGAGTTGATTATGTAGATTGGCCATCATTAAGAGTTTGAAAGCTGGCGTTCCAAGCCTTAGCCCTTCATCTCAAGTATTAGCCTTTCTGACAATGGCCAACTTATATTAACAACTCAGTTAATAATACCAAATTACCTGGTTATAATCTCCCACCAACGCAGAGTCACAGTTTCTTTAGAAACTTAACCCCTTTATTCATTTGAAGATACACAATCAAGTTCACTGATAAGCAGGTGGATACAATGGGTAGCCAGGCAGCTATAGGCTGGTTATTTACAAGATGGGTAAAAAAACAATTACCATAAAACAAAATTATGTCTTCAATTACCTTCATACTCTGCTCGAACACCTGAAGGGTCTCTGTATGTCTCAATAAATCCTATGTAACTAAAACAATATTATTATTAAGCAACATACTTAAAGATGAACATTTCTACTATAGCTTTTATACCTCATTTACTGACCTCTGTGAAAACAGACAGTAGAAAAATTCTGACCCCTACAATTAGGCCATCACACCCTCCCCTTTCCAAATTTTGGCTGTTTTGGCTCTGACATAAAAGAGGGCCTTCAGATTTTTAGTATCATTTTCCTTTCAATTTTTAAATCCATTGAGTTTGTCTAATCACCAAAAAGCCTTTATAAAGTTGTCACACACATGCCAGCTCAAATTCTCTGACACTTAGTAAAGACATAGCTAATTTCTTCTAAACAACCAATGCCAGCAATAAGGAGACTTCCCTTAAGAAATTCATCACAAAATACTATGTTTGCCTACGTTTCAACAATGGGTCCCTTATCTCTGATCCAGAACCTAGAGCCATCCTTATGAGCCTGAATGGAGCCTGTGTTGAAGCTGTGTATGTAGCTTTTTATCATGGACAGTTCATTGTTATTAGCACTAAATTCCTAGAAGTAAATGCAAGGTATTGAACATATATTCATGCCATATCATCATTATCCATTAAATGTTCTTGCTTGACAATAACTGGTCAAAACAGTCCCATGACTGACTTTGCTCCACATATAACAAGGGAATAATGGAGTATTATTTATTGGCAAGGCAGATTTAATCAGCCTTTTCTACTCCTCAATTTAACTAAGAGGTTCCATTATACCAATCATCTGTTCAAACAACATGACATTTAAGATACAACAAGAACAACAAACATCACAACATGAAAAGAAAAACATTCATTGCTGAATTAATCAAGTGAGAATTGTTCCAAAAGAAATTCTTCCATTTTACCTTAGCTTTCTCTAGATTTTCGACAACTCTTTTTAGTAGACCAGAATAATCTCCTCTCTCCACCCTGAAGGTACAGCCTTTGAATTCATGAGAACCCAAAACTGTTACTACTTTGTCTTCTTCCCCATTTGCTCCAGGACATGGCTCTGCTTTAAACAAAAGAATCACACAAAAAATTTCATGATGCGCAAAGACATATATACTGCATCAGGAATTTTTAGCAGAGTATTCTACAACAGGAATATATTTAGTTAAGCACAATCATGTTTCACAACCAAATAAAATTTTTATATCCTCTGGGGAGGGGGAGAGGGGGAGAGAGAGAAGAGATCACAAAGACCCTTGCTAGATCTTGGGACCTTGGCATCAATTGTAAATGATCAGGAAGTGCTCTTTACCAGCAAAAGACACACTAAATCAAGTGCAATGGTTGCAAAACAAGACATATTTCTTTGCTTCATGTTTTTGTTTGCATCATACCCTTGAACTCACCAGTTTTTGCCACTGAAGCTATGCGAAGAATGTATGTCACATGACCATCTTTCTCCTCCTTAAATAATCTTGTGTTATAGGTTTCTATGTCCTGTGGGTTGATATCAATTGTAAAAATAATAAAACATGGTATCACAATGATGAAGCACAGGTCACATTTTCATACATATAATGTTATAATCATGAAAAACTTGACTGTTGTTATTAGTAGAAAAGTATCATTTATGTATTGAGTATGGAATAAAATTTCAAGAAAATCAAAAAATGTTCATTAAAGATGGAAGAACAAAGTGAAGAGAAAGTGATGGAAATAACATCACTTTCCATGGCAATTAACATGATGAGCACAGAATTAGGAGGAATCATTTGCAATAAAGATGACATACAGGTAAGAACAGTTCTAAGATCATGCACATTAAAACCTAGAGCATCTCAGTACCATCCCTCACCTAAATATCCAGAACAGATGTCATCAATCTGTGCTTTTGTCTTTAGTTATACTCTTTAGCATACTCTCAAACAGTTAATGAAAGAATTCCTACAAAACATTTCTTGAGACATCTTCCCATTCCTCTTATCATAAAATTATTTGGTAACTTGAAATTGCACTAACCTTTTCTTTCATAAACTCTTGCGCCAATTCAGCATCAGCCTTTGCACAATTACTGGAATAATATGTGGAAAGACCCTGGTAAAAGGAAAATTAAGGTATAATCAGTGTTAATCACAAGTATCTCACTTTTAGCAAAAGAATTAACAGCACCGTTAAACCAAGCACAACAAAA